CTTCGCAGGGACATATATTGCGTTTTTACAGGGCTAACAGGGGGACAAAATTCAGCTGTCCATCACGACGAAGACAACTGATCTGTCAAGTGTGAGTAAAGGAAGACGCTCTCAATTAGAGGAAGGAACGTATGGCATGAAATGAAGGTAGAGACTATGAAGGAGAGAGAGAGAGACTCTTCTATGAGTATGTCTCGCTCTCTCTGTGGGTCCATCAATCTTGGTTATCTGGAAAATCTGACCCAAAAAGGTGGGAAAGACGAGCTGTATCTCACCAAACTGCTTCCACTTTGTCTGTTAGTGACACACAGACACACACATGCAAAGTCAATCTCACTCCCATGAACACACACACAGACACAGACACACACACACACACCCACACACACTTACAAATAAGTATATTAGGCTATATTAGGCTCATTTTTATGTTCTTATGATGTCACAGAAGAAAAAAGTTGTTGGTTTTTTATCTCATAAGAGAACTTCCTAAGATGCCACAAGACAATATTTTTGTTCTTATAAAGACATAAGGAAACTTTAAGTTTTTATGATGTAATAAGGGAACCCTTTAAAGTCATGATGTCATAGAAGGAAATTTTTAAGGTCTTAAGAAGTCATTGGAGAACCTTTTGATGTTTCTTTATATGTTCTCCAAAACCAGCATCTATATTCTGGGTCTTCAAAGCATCTGGCTTCATTTTTTTCAGTGCTTTTTAATGCTACCTAGAACCAATAAGCAGATATGAACAAATAAATAAATAGACAGATCTATTCTATTAATAAAGCGTTCTATTCAAAATAGTATTTCATATGATGATTTTTACATCCTCATAGTCACTGAAATTCATAAAAAATAAAAAATTATAATTATGGAAGCTTGTTTCAGCCATAGAATTAAAAAAAAAATAAAAATGGTAAATGCGATTTTTTTAATCTCACAATTCAGACTTTTTAAAGTTTAAATCGGTTTATACAATTCTGAGAAAAATTAAGAATTATGAGACAAATCAGAATTGTGGGATATAAACTTTTGTGAGAGAAAAAGTAAGAACAGGGAGATAATATAGATAATATTTTTTATTACAATTAAAATTTTATTTTTTTATTGTAGTGGTGGAAACAAAAACATAATTGTGAAATGTAAACTGAGATAAAAAAAAAATCGCAATTACAATTTTTATTTTTTAACAGCGGAGACAAAAAAAACAAACAAAAAAAAAGTCAGAATTGAGATAAAAACTTGCAATTATGTTTTTAATAGTTTATCCCAATGGCTCCCAATAATCAAAATATGCAAATAACAACATTTATATTAAAAATAGTTTTCTTTAAAATTTAAATTATTTTAACAACGATAATTCTTCTGTCCATAAATTTGTGTTTCTCTCTCACACCACCATTTGCCTCAAAATAATTCATTTTAAATGACATGATGAAAAGTGATATTTGAATTATGAGAAGCCATAAATAAAATACTAACACTAAATATAAAAATTACATATTTGTTTTCCCATTTACATTTTTAAGAATCCTTAAATTGACTATACTATACTCTTTCCTACAGCATCCATACAAAAACTCACAAAAGTGTGTGTGTGTGCGCGCGTGCATCACAACTAAAACAAAAAAAAGTAGCTCTCCCAGCACATCAGTGGAGGGAAATAATCAGACAAAAAGAGTGACCCACACTTATGTAAGGCGTGTGAGGGCCGGCCCAAGATCTTCTGGGGCCCTGCATGACTGTCGGGTCTCATCGAAGTGCGTCATTATCTATGACACTTAAGAAGGGGACATCTACCGGTAATGGTGACACTGATTTAGAGCGACAGGAAGGTGGGGGAGAAATAGGAAAGGAAGAAGAACAAAAGAGAAGTGGAAATCTACCTCCCCTGCTCTCACTGTCAGCTGGCTTCACCTGGATTGGCCTGTTCATCTGTGCAACAGAGAGAGAAGAACGAGGGAGGGGAAAAGACAGGACAGACAGAAAGAAGAGGGGAAAAGACAAGAGAAGACATTAGATTTGTAGCTGAGCACAAAAACTATTCAAGTGAAGTGTTCACATTTACAGTGTGTATCAATACGATAGTATATGAGCCATTCCAGTACTATTTGTGCCCATAATGTTTGATGAAATGCCCACAAAAATCTTGAATATGTTAATTCAAAATTAGGAAATTATTCTTTGCAAAGTATTTTTCTTTGCAATCATGTCATACAGATATTGAAATAAATAAAAAATAAATAAATAAAGATTAAGTTTACTGTACGTAATTCAAAATGAATTCAACTTATTCTATTAAAAATATTATTTCCTAAGTTCTTAAAAAAATTATAATAAAAAGAATAAGCTTAAATATGTTTATTCAAAAATAATCATAATGATTTTTTTTACATGCCCATTCATCAAAATCTTTTATCAATTAAATTATTCAAATGTAATGATAAACTTATTCTAATAAACATTTTATGTGTTGATTGTTGCGTGCTAAGTCATCATATTCTTGTAAAAATAAAAAAAGCTTAAAGATGTTTCATTTGATAATTTGACATATTACCAGTCAAAATGTAAAAAAAAAAAAAAAAGAAAACTAGAAATACTAATATACATTGCCTGGAAAATCAAAATAATAAATTTTCTAATATTTAATGATTCATATCTTGAAATTAGATTAATATTTAAATTGATTTCAGCAAGAATACTTCTCTCTATGAATTTTGATTTTCCCCGTCACACCATAATTAGCCTGGGGAAAAAAATCATTTTAAATGACATAATGAAGAGGAAGTGACATCGTGTGAGTTTTGAGGAGCCAAGTTCAAACTTGGAAACATCTCATCTCATTTAATATTCATAAATTGTTGTTCTGTCATGCTTGACACAATTTCTCAAGCATAACATATCCACCCTGGCACATGAAATTAGCTTTTTTCCCCTTTCTATTTATAGAAAAATCATTTGAATACCTAAATAAATAGAAAGCCATAACCTTATACCATCACCATAACAGGTGAGCTGCAGCAATTGTGGTGTGAAATGTTCCACCCCAACACAGAATATATCACCATATTATTAACTTGAGATTATTAACACTTAAAAATATTTTTGTCTTATCGGATAATGCAGAAGAAAAGGAAAAGGCAAATGTTTCTTAGAATGACTAATTTACAGTTGTACAACACACCAGAGTAAACGTCAGACACACAAAGCGTTATTAAAAGAAATGCAAGTCAAAGCATGCAACACATTTGCATACATCTCCGTTTATGTGTATGAATGGCACTTGTGTGTGAGGTCTCACTAAAAGACGCTCACCATCATAAAGTGTTTCGTTCTGCTTCCTTCACTCGTGGCACATTCCCGAATGACTCCGGCTCAATAATACATGTAAGCCACGGAACGGTCTGCGGCAATCAATTTTTAATAATGCCAATTGTCACGCTGCCAGCAGGAAGGAGACGAGAGGAGGGGAACGAACCCGTGCGCAGTGGCCTTACAGACAATCGCTCAGGGCACTGCCCCCGAAAATAAGACACAAACTCCACTTCTCTATCGCTCATCCACAGCAGTTTACTTCTGGAAATGAGTTGTGACGAAGCAGGTATGTTTTTATGAGCAGCTTCTACACTCCCTCTCACTGTCTGCATCGTACATACAGAAAAAGTCCTTGAGGAGAAAGTCTCTTCGTCTGCTAAAAGCCAAAAACAGGGGAAGCATAATAGCAGCGTACGGTAGCCTAAAGTCAAATTGATCAAATCAAATCAAGTCAAATGTTCCTTGGCTCCAGATATATATCCATTTATATGACAATGCAATTTGTTTGGTTTAATAAAAAAAGGTACATTTCTGCCCAGCCATGTGACCACATACAATTATTTTATTTGTAGTTTAAGTACATAATGTCTTTGCAACATTGAATTACTTTTTAGTTAAGAAATCCTAATTTAATTTTCAAATAAGGAATGCAGTCTTTCATCTTTGATGAGAGTCATGAAAATACCACGCAATAAGTTGATTTCATTATTCAACAGAAAGTGACATAAAAATGCAGTTAATGCTCTTTACAGCAGTTTTTAATAAAATCTTACAATACAGTAAATCCTTTATTGTATTTTCCACTAATTTTTTATTCAATTTGGACAAAATTTAGCATCTGCTAAGTTAATAAATATGTTACTCTACATGATTAAATGCCAACATTCGGTAACAATAAGCAGAAAAATAACTTAAAATATTAAACAACTGGTTACAGTAATACAATGGCAATAATAAACTGCTACAGATGTTTTAATGTTTAATGCTTCATAAAATAATGTTTTATTGAAAACGTGCACTATTGTACAAAAGTTTGGGGTCAGTAAGATTTTATTAATGTTTTAGAAGAAGCATTTTATGCTCACCAAGTCTGAATTTGCTTGATCAAAAATACAACAAAAACCGTAAATATGATTACCATTTAAAAAAACAGTTTTCTATTTGAATATATTTTAGAATGTAATTTATTCCTGTGATGCAAAGTTGAATTTTATTAGTATCATTAGTCCAGTCTTCATGGTCACATGATCCTTCAGATATCATCCTAATTGCTGCTTAAGAAATATTTCTTATCATTAACGTTGAAGAGTTATGCTGCTATATTTTTGTGGAAAAAAGTTATGCCTTTTTGCAGGATTCTTTGATGAATAGAAAGTTCAGAAGAACAGCATTTATTAGAAATAGAAATCTTTTGTAACATCATAAATGTCTTTACTGTCACTTCTAATCAATTTAATGTGGCCTTGCTGAATAAAGTATTTTCTTTAAATGACTTCGTTATAACAAACCTCTGAACGAGAGTATAAAAGTTTGCGTGTGCATTTCTGTGCTCGTCCTTGTTTATGCATAATAACGATAAACTAATTAAATACCCTGCAATGCCAATAAACCACTAATTCTGTTTATTAAAGTCATCTTCCAACTGCATATTTTACTGGACTCACAGTGACTCATTTACGACAGAAAAATACCCACAGTGCACCTGGTCAGCACACCTGTGGCGTCCTGGCTCGGGTCCAGACCAACAGCTCTGGGGTTTCTCACTTCATAAAGTTCACTTCTTTTTCAGACCTGATCACTCACTCCTTATTTTTCTCCATCCCTTGCATCCTCCTCTTTTATTGGCAGTAAAGCCCAGCTAAAGTTTTTAATGTGTTTTGATGCATTATTTATTTTACCATGGCTGCTGATAGTGAGGGCGGAGGGAATAGTGAAAAGAGAGAGAGAGCGATGGAGAAAGAGAGGTAGATCTGGACATAGATCGGGGAGCAGAGCAAGGTCACACACACACACACACACACACACACACACACACACACACACACACAGTATCCCAGCAGGCCTCTACTCACATACATTTTAATGTTTCCCTCCCAATGGCACAAATGGACTCTGCTATGTGTGCTAATAGTGTTCCCCCAACCAGAATCTCACCCATGAGAGAGACACACTCGTACAAGAGCATTTCTCACACACTCACGGCCTTTATGCATCCTGACAGAGGGACATGCATGAAATGCACTCACATTCCCAGGGTGAATCTGACGGGTACATGTGGAATGATATCTAGTGCACACTCACACAAATGTGAGTAAGTGTCTTGTGAGTTTAAATCACAAATTAGTTATGAATTTATTCAATTAAAAATATAATTTTCTGTTAAATTTGACATGCCATTGCGGTCATCAAAATTCTCTGAAAATGAAAGAATTAGTAAAAAATAAGCTTAAATATATTCATTCGAAATTAATCAAACTTGTTCTTTTTTAAATTATTATTTCGTGTGCTTAATTTTATAGTCAGTGAAAATATTTTGATAAATTTAAAAGCTTAGAAATGTTAATTTAAAATTAATCAAGCTGTTTCTATTAAAATATTGTTCATTTTTTTATTAAACATTATTAAAAATATCATTCATGTGATGATTTTTAAATACGCATAGTCATCAAAATTCTTCTATACACAAAAAAAGCTAAAATATTATTCAGATTAATTTTATTAAATATTATTAAAATATTATTAATGTGATGAGCTTAAATACCCCAGTCATTAAAATTATTTTATAAATGAAAAAATAAAACTCAAATATTTTAATTCAAAATGAATCATAAACCTATTCTATTAAAATATTTTATATTTGTATTAAATTATTAAAATTATTGCTATTTTTATATACCCATATAGTCACTGAAATTCTTGTATACATAAAAAAGCTTAAATATGTTAATTCAAATTAATCAAACTTACTATATTAAAATATTGCTTCGGTTTTTTCTATTAAATATTATTAAAATATTATTAATGTGTAATTTTAAAATACTTAATCATTGAAATTCTTTAAAAAAATGTAAAAAAAAAAAAAACCTGACAAACATACACTGCCATGATAATCAAAATAAAAAATAGTTCTCTAAAACTATTTAGATATGAATATTAAGAGAGTGCTTCTCTCACACATAGCTTTTATGCATCCCGACAGGAGGACATGCATGAAACGCGCTCACATTCCCAGGGTGCATCTGACAGGTACATGTGGAATGAGACTTAGTGCACACTCAGTACACACTTTAAAACCGAACGTGATGGCATGTCATAAAACTGAGCTGAATGAAACATAATGTGGCATTTGGAGACATTTGTCACTGTTGCGCCACAGGTTTCCACATTACTTCCAAACTGTGATTTCAGAGGCCCTTAGAGGACTTTCATCTGCCACCTCTAGATGGCAGCATTGAGCAGGCCAATTTTTAGCCTCCCGAGCTCCACATCACATATTCTGAGAGGATAAAATCTTTTACACAAAGGAACAGAAAAGTAGTAGAAGCAGAAATGGCCTCCTGCATGCATATGTGTGAACACGGACAAAAACGAGTGCGCAAATCCATACAAAAGCACGCATA